CGTTTTCAGGAAATTAGCAGCATAGGCCGCTGCCATGTACGCTATCTCAGAAGGAGATCGGCTTCTCCCTTCTTCTCTTCTCTTGTTCCTTTCGTCCCACCACGTCCACAACAGCAGGGTAACGGTGAGTTGCTCCTTCCCTTGCAAGCCCAAGATTACCTCCATCACTCCTCTTGCTGACCCGGCTTCCAACAGTTTACACCGAATATCTTCCAGATTCAGTTCACGCCAAGCTATCTTAACTTCTTTGCACTTAAAAAATAAATGCCCTCCGTCTTCATCTAGTCTGTTGCATATACTGCAAAGAGTGTCAGTTTTCACCCCCTGCGTTTTAGGACCCTCTTCACAGCTAGAGTATTGTGGCTCATTCTCCAAAGGAAATGCTTTGACTTTCGGCGGGCAGTCCAGTCTCCATAGCCGTTTCCAGATGCCTGGTCCTCCATTGCTGATTCCAGTTCCTAGGTAAAACAGCTTTTCCTCCGACGGAGGCAAGGAGACAGGGTGCACGGGACTTCGGGACGGTGTTGGCCACTAGCACTACTAGGCCTGTTGGGCGAGTCATGACTTGGGCCAGTGCCCAGCAGATCCAACAAGCCAGGCCCAAGTCTTGGCAGTTCAGTAGTTGGCCTCTAGTTCACACGTCTAGGCAGCCAAAAAACAACCGATAGCCGGATAGGCACTTCCTCTTCAACCGGCCGGCCGCCGGCGGAGGCGGAGGCGGAGGCGGAGGCGGCTCGCCGGTCCTTTAGACTGTCACGCCGCCGGCTACCTGTGGCCGGGCCGGCCCGGCCCCAGTGTCCCACCCCACTGTGATGACAGGTTCGCCCCGTACACAAGTTCCTTCAATTCCATACACGAATAAGTACATAGGAGTATACAGCTTACCATGTCCATGTAGTTCTATTTTTAGTAAAGGTAGGTATAAACATGCAAACTTTTTCAAAAATCATACTTCCGTGATTTAGAAATTTTTGAAACAATGCAAATCCATAGTGCATCAATATACGTACTTTGTTGCAAAAGTTGAAGTTCAAACTCAATCTAGAAAAATTCATCGAAACATAACAAAACTTTTAAATGATTTAGGACAGAGATAATACAATAATGTTCTCGGCATCACGTAGTCAACCGACGCACTCGACTCGAGATCGGATCAAGGTCTGTCCAAACATCAACGTGATTGCGCACATGATGTTAAATATTCACTGTACTGCTTCTGCACTAAGTATTGATATACCATTTCCCTTCAAAGAAAAAGTACGGATATACCATTACCACAACTGTAGAGTTGAGAGAAGTGGCATAAACAAATGGGAAACAAATAGCAGAAAAGCACTCTATAGTGTAGGGTAACTGGCTTGTTAATTGTCTCCACGTGAGAAGCGCATGGTTATGGTTTGTCAACGAGTGAGACAGATTTAGATGGAGATGAGATGGGCGAGGTCGGTGGGTTCAGTTCAGCTGATTCCATCTGTCCTGTCTAATCACATTTTCATTTTCTACGCAGTTTAATGGGTTGGCTAGATGGAGATGATGGGGCCGTTTAGCTTTGCACGCATGGGCTCGGTCCATGCACCCGTAGCGGTGATGTCATGACGTCGGTGGGTTGGGGTTCAGTTCAGCACCATTGATAGCTTTTGTTATGTGCACCGTACTTTTTACGAAGATGGGTTGTTCCACGAATTCCTGAATAATAAAAGGCTTATCAAAATGAAAAAAAAAACTAAAAGGGTCATGCTAGCGCATGAACGTCCAAACGCCCACGCATCCACGTGCTACTACGCCAGCCCGCGTGCTTTTCGCGCCACGCCTGCAGCTGCTGGGTCCGTGCGTGCTGCTGCTGTGCCTGCTGGCTTGCTGCGCTCCGAGCGTGCTGCTGCTGTTGCGCCCGCGCCCGCTGCTGCTGCGCCTGCATGGGAGAGCATGTGCGTGGGGTTCGCCTAGCTGCATGCAAAAGAGAGAGAGGGTGGGAGCACAGCACGCGTACCTGTGTTGATCCCGGCTACGTGCTCCACCATGGGGGAGCAAGCCTGGTGGTGCAAGGGCGCCTGGTTCTGCGTCATGCGCGCATGCACTTTGACTAGAGAGTGCTCGACCATTTGGGCACTGACGCCCGTTGCGTGCACGTCCGACTATTGGAGTTGGCCTGCATGACAGAGATAGGCAGCGCTGGAGGGTACGTGCAGCGTGTGCGTGCCCGCGAGTTAGAGCGCGTGGGGAGCAGCACCTGCTGCAACATACTAAAACCAGGTGAAACAATTGAAACATACGTTTGCAACATATGTGTATAACCACCATATGCAATATCCAGATAAAACACTTGCAACATATGTTAGAAAATAGGTGAAACATTTGGAACATACACTTGCAACATACATGTATAGCCACTGCAACATATGCAACATCCAGATGAAAACATGCACCATCCAGATAAAACAACTGAAATATTTGAAAAATACACTTGTAACATATGTGTATAACCACTACAACATATGCAATATTTAGATAAAACACTTGCAACCATATGTTTAAAATAGCTAAAACACTTGAAACATATACTTACAACACACGTGCGTAGTCATTGCAACATATGCAACACCAGATCTAACGCATGAAACATATGGTTGCAATATGTGCTCATCTACTTGTTGTCGTCGAATGAAAGCTCGTTGGCGTGGACGCGGGGGAGCGCAGCGCGAGGCACCGGGGGTGCGTGGCACGAGGCGTGACCGGCGTGAAACAGGAGGTGCAGGGGCGCGAGGCGCTAAGCGGGTCCGGCGCCATGAGCAAGGGCGCGCGGCACGAGACGGTTCCATCCTGTGGAAGTATCCAATTTTTTTTAAATAATGGGCCGATCAAACCTGGTCCTCAAACCCAGTGAAGATGCGCGTCCGGTCGGGCCAAACGCTCGGTAGAGTGCATTACCAAAATTAAAACTACTAACAAAGTTACACAAGAAATTTGAATATTAAATCACTTGCCCTAAATACTCTGAGTCGTTTGACAAATAATAACATCGACCTTTCAAAGGTCTTCATAGATCTCTTTATGACCAAAAAAAATCTACTAACTGCAAATGTGAAGCAAATATATGTATCTTGTTGGTGTCATTTATCTTTATTCGGATCATATTTTTGTATCTACGGCTCTGGAGATGCTCTAGACCTAATAAATGAGGGACGTGATTGCGTAAGAGCATCTCTACAGTGTAAGACTCTCCAACTATCGTGTTCGCCATTTCTAAATGCTAGAATAAAGATTTTAGTGATCGCCAAAAAGCTTCCTAACCCTAGTTCAACATTTTCTCTCTCTCCTCCTCCAATAGCCTCTCTCCTCTTCCCCAGTCATCCAAATATAGCCATCTTCTATTTCAGATTTTTACGCTAGGCGCAAAAACTCTCGGTAGATGACGAGAATGGCTCTCTAGAGTGCCACCTACCCACCCCAATCCAATCCACTGAGAAATAGAAAAACTATTGGAGAGTGAAAAGATATAGAAAACGATTTTTATGCAAATAGCTCTCCATATAATGATTTAGAGAGTGAGATTTAGAAAGACTCCTGAAAATGCTCAAAGGACCTCCTAATAAATGATACAGACAAGAGACGTTGATTGCGTGTTTGTGATCAACCTGTGTGGTTTCTCGACAAGGAAAAATTCACTAGCTACACACCTTTTTTGTGTGTGTAAGAAGTACTTCTTTCTTGATATAATATTATACTGTTTTCTCAATGCTGGCCTAAGGTCTTTACCTTTCCAAGTAATAAAAATTTAACTTTGCAAAAGATCAAGAAAGGGTGCTTTACATCGTCTGTTCCATCTGCCTTTACCAATATATATACAACTATATAAGGTGTTCATCAGTTCCAGTAATTGGAACAGCTATTACTTGGTTTACCGGCCACCTCGGAACATGATCAATGGTCAATGGATATAAATTTGGGGCTCTCCAATGTACTCTTCAGCAAAGCCTTACATATCTCTAATTGTCACATAATATTCCACGTGGCTTTTAAATAGCTTTGAATACCTCCCTGTCAAAACAAACACAGAGTTTTCTTTAGGCTATTATTATAGGATAGGCTAAATACAAGAGAACTTCTCAAAAGAAAAATATGGAGCTGCCAAGTTTTCATCATGTCTTATGCTCAGAAGTTTTTTTAAAAAATTTCTAGGGCTACGAGCTGCTGCAGATTATATATATATATATATATTTTTTAAAAACAACAGGCTGCCCTTTCTTCATGAAAATCTTACTCCTCCGTTTTAAATTATAAATCACTTTGATTTTTTTATACATCGAATTTATTATATATCTAGATACATGTTATGTCTAAATACATAACAAATTCGATGTATAAAAAAGTCAAAATGAGACTTATAATTTCGAATAGAGGAAGTAATTCTTATGAGTTGAAGTATATGGACAACACACAATGACTTCATATTTGAACAAAGTGCAACCATCCATCTTCGAATTAAATGTAGGTTCAAGGAACAAACTGCCCTAGTATTTCATATGGCAAAAAAAAAGTTATTACCCTTTTTGTTCTTTTTTTTGAGATTTTATTTCCCTTTTGTTCGAGCAATCCTTACATGCTTAATTGTAATTCTAGATCTTCTTTTCTTTCTTCTTTTTTTTGTTTCCTGATTTCTCTTGTGCAAGCGTTTGCTTCCTTTTTTTTCCAATAAAATTTCCAATAATAGGTAAACATTCTCGTGCATCCCCTTACATTCAAGCCCGTACTAGATCCAACTAACCCGGCTAATCAACCTTAACTGACATACCTCAGACTTAGTCTCGTCCAAACATCCTATTTTAGGCTCTGAATTCTAACAGATATTTTTATTAAAACCAATGAAAAAAACAAAAAAAAAACATCTCCTCTCTAAACCACCGGCGCTTACACGTTTGTTGGAACCTCTAAAACCACTTTTAACTCCATGACTCCATCCAAAACCAAAAAACGGAAAAGCCACCGTCACAGCTCACAGGTCCATGAACCCGGTGCACGTGTCTTTTCCTCCTCACAGACAGGGTCACACCTCGCCTTCACAGACCCCTCTCCCACACTTTCCATCTCCTCCTCCAAGGCTCCAACTCGTCACCCAGCGACCCCTTCCCTCTCCCTCTCAGCCATTCGGCGGCGGCGGCGGCAAGGGGAGCCATTCCTTCCGTCGATCGGCCTCTGCCATCGTCACGCCTGCATCTCCGAAATCTGAATCTCCATCAACTCTTCAAGGATCGGCGAGAGGTAAGGTTTACTGCCTTCTAGATACTCCTGCCTCTGGATGTCTGACGACCTGTTCCTGCGTTTTCCTCGAGATTATCGTCGCTGGTGCTCGGTTGCCTCGACGATCCGATCCGTGTTCTTGACTTTACTTTTGTCAATCCCCTGTCGATCAGAAACTATGCGTGTTTCATGTTTCGATCTTCGTTCGTGTTGGTGCGGATATATTTTCTGATGTGATTTAATTCGATGCCACTGTGTGCATAAACAAGTCTCTGTTCGTTGATTCTGGGCGAGGGATGAAAATCATTTGATGCGTATTGCTAATGTTTACTGGAAACTGAGTTGGTACTGGCGTGAACTTGGCTGCTAAACCCACAGCCGCAAGCATCAGCCTACCAGCCATGTCAATGACAGATCAGAATTGATTATTAATGGCACGAGTTTTGTCAAGGATCTGATTGCAATCTTTACAGTATGATAGCAGAAGGGAAATAAAAGGTTTGTATATAAAATATGGTTGCGTGATGAGCCATACTGTATTACTGTAGTAGTTACGGATTAAAATACAGAGGCATATGGATGCGGATGTTCTGGACTCTGAATTAATTTTTTGTTCATTATTACGTCCTAATATATGTTTTGGGGTGGTTTCGCAATATGTTTGACTTGCACCAATAAGTAACTCGCAAACCCTTTCCATTATCAAAGATTCAAGGTAGATTAGCCTTTTGGTTTAGTGGGAATTAGTTCAACTAAAGGGGAATCAACAGCTGCCTAAATGCTTCCCTGTGTACTTCTGCAACAAGTTCTATGTACTTTGCAATGAAGACCCTGAAAAGGTGCATTCAGTCATCACCAAATATAATTGGGCAATGATGGGCAACAGTTCTTTTCCTTTTTAAAGAAAAATATATACAGCTGATTTAATGTCAACACACTCCTTTTGGGCAGCTATGTGTTTGTGTTTGAGATCAGTATATCATCCTTTTTTTGTGTTGCTAACGTCTGTGTCTGCAATTGCAGCGTCTGTGCTTCTAATGACTGAACAAATGATCAAACAGGCCGTCACCTCCACTCCTGCATCAACTGAACCAAAATGCGGAGACCTCCTGATAAATTCTGCAGTAGTCATGGACGGCAGCAGCATGACACCTGACGTCAAGAGGAAGGAGAAGCCGGTCCCGCATTACCTGAGAGCATCCACGAGCTCTTGCCATGACAACTGCAAGTTTGGGATCAAGCATTCCTCTGAACCCAAGAAGTACTGGCCTGTTAGTCGCAAGCAATTGCGCCGTGCGAGCACTGGGAATCAGGAACTCGACCCGGTGCAAATCATACTACCACACAAAAACAGATCAATAAAGGAGGACCAGAAGCTGAAGATTTCTCATGTGAAAGGTGGTAGTGGTACTGTTCCTGCTAAGCCTGAGTTCATCACTCTGAAAGCACCACTTGAAAAAGTACCTGATCATTTGGAAAGCATTCCCCACGTGGAAGATTCGTCAGCTGAAGCATCTGATCTTGTTGTGGCTGAAACCCTGCCAACTGATGCTGAATGCTTCGTCGTCTCTCATGATGATGTGACAGACTCTGGAGATGGGGAGTCGTTGGATGGAGCTGAAAGCATTGAGCTGGAGATGCCATTAGCTATCCAGGACATTGATGAATCTGACGAACACATTGAGGTTACCATTCTGCCTGCTGACAGTGTATGCGGAGTTGAGGGACAGTCACCTGTGCGTCCTGTGCCTGATCAATCAGAAAATGAGTGTGCAAGTTCAGATATCAGTACTCCTCAGACTGTGATAGCCTCTGAGAAGCATGAACAAGCCAAGCTTGGGACTAAATCAGAGAGTCTGTCTAAGGGGTCTGTAAAACCGAAGGCGAAGGCCACATTGAGTATGACGAGAGACAAAGGCTCAAGTCAGAAAAGTGGAAGAACACCGCATCTGACATCTACTCGTACAGCAGTTGACAGCTCCGGTGGACCAAAGACAGCAAGAAAACTTGCAGATGTTACTGCTACCACCAAGTTCAGTAACCCAGAGAGAAAATTCAGGCCTACAGTTACATCAACTGTGCAAAAAGCTAAGGAGATCAAATTGCCCTCAGCATCTAACGCGAAGGATTCATCTGCAAAACCTTCTAGGTTAGCAAAGCTAAAGGCTTCGATAACAAAAACTGCGCCATCTCCATCACTTTCTTCTGCGAAACAGACCGACAGAAAGATGTCAGGGAGCAATGTTGGCAAGAATGCCCAAATTCTTCCAAAGAAGAGAGAAGACAAAGTAAAAACTGGTCCACTAAAACTGTCTCGATCATTAAACATGTCTGCCAAGTCGCTCTCGGGTGTAAAGTTGAGGACAGTCAGAAAAGAGAAAATTGCTCCCCCAATCAATAGCAGCAAGAAGGTTTCTGGAACAGAAAATTCTAGTATTGATGCTAAGGAGGCTAAGCAGAGAATTCTGAAGACGGCTTCACCAAAAGTGCGGAAACTGGAGACTAACAACAAAGAGATCGGACCTCGCAAAGGTACAAATTTACAACATTGTGCATCTCTACTCTACTCGATGCAAATATTATTCTGAAGTCTGAACTGGTGTGCATTTCTGCTTCTCTATGCAAATTTCTGAACTGAGGTGCATTTCTTCTTGTTAATGCAAGTTTATTTATTTCTTATTCTGTTCTGAAGCCAACATATACTCAGGTCTTAATCGTTGGCAAATCTTTAAATGAATTTTTTGCGCTGCACGAGAATGACAATTTTTCAGCTCCCGTTTTTACAGAAAAAATCGACATTGCAAGAACTGCAACCGCAAGGAGGGCAAAGCCTGCGCCGGCCACCCCCTCGAGCACCGTGGTGCCATCGCAGCCGCCTCGCAAACTGACGTTCCGGCGGGGCAAGGTACTGAACCCCAACGAGAGCAGCGGCAGCACCCCGAGGCGGCTCCGGTTCAGGCCTGCCATATCCGCGGCAGACGCGACAGCCAGGAGCAGAGGCGGCAGGATCGCCAGCCGGAGGATCGGCGGCGGCGGCGGCGGCGCTGCAGCGAGAGACGCGGGTGCCGAGGTCGTCGTGCTGCGGCGGCGGCAGGACGGTAAGGAGACGAAAAAGCAGGAGCCGGGGCTGTTCAACAACGTGATCGAGGAGACGGCGAGCCGGCTCGTCGCTGAGGCGAGGAAGAGCAAGGTGAAAGCGCTCGTCGGCGCCTTTGAGACCGTCATCTCGCTGCAGGAAACCAGCAAGGCTGCTGCTCCGGCTATGGCAGCAGGTGTCGTCGTGCCATGAGCGCTTCTTGATTGATCTGCAGTGTGCGTAATCACCGTTCTTGGAATTTTGGACTTTTTTTTTTCGGTTGTTGGTGACTGTAAAAGTGGAGCTTTTGAAGTTTGCTCGTTTCCATGTAAATTGAGTTTTCTCATGGGAGTTTCCGTGCTGGATGGTACACCAAAGGAGAGTTCGTAGTACTTAAAAAAAAGTTAGTACAGGTTTTGTGTTTGTGTAAGGCTTGGCATTGTGCTGCAGATAAGTAAGCAAGTTACTGTAATGATTTAAACTAGCTTGTTTCAAAAGGAAATGAAAAGGATAAACCAAATTAAACTTTATGTTAAGTTACCTGATTCCTGAACATGGTATTAACCTTCTGTCAACGCTTTCTATGTTTTTTTTAGAATTTTGTTTTCTATGTTTTTTTGCTTCATTTCACTGCATTTTAAGTTTACAACTACACGCTGCATATGCTGGCAGATTTGTTCATATGTTACTCCTGCTGATATCTCAACTCTCAGTCTCTCACAGTAGCAAAAGTCATATGATACATATGCTCAATCTAATTTTCAAGAGCGTTTTGATCTTTCTTGCTGGCTTGACTGGACCGCTGACCGTGAAGAGGCCGGGTCCAAGCCAGATGGAAAGGTTGACCTGGTCAAAGTCAGCCATCCAGGAGCTAAAACCTCTGTGGATGGGCTCTTGGAGCAACTAGAGGTAGTAGAAAAGAGAAGGCCGGGGCCTCTGTGAATGGGCTCTTGGAGCAACTGGAGTTAGTAGAAAGAGAAGACCGGCCCAGGCCCATATGTGGCAATGTTCGACGGGTGGAATGGAATTCAGAGTCCACATATTTTTTTTAATTTTTTTAATTTAAAATAAACTAAACGAGGCCGCTGGTCAGAGAAGTTCAACACAATAATTAAGCTGGTTATGATTTCGAATTCGGTAATCCAACAACTGCCTCCTATCCTATCTTATCTGCTCGTCTTCACTTGCTTCTTCAGAAAGTCACGTAGTCTCTTACAAAAATCGCCGCAGCGCCTCGACCATGCACGAGGCTCCGTCGCACCGCCTAGGCAGTCTCTCCACGTCATCCGGGCGCTCGCCTTCCTCCCTCTTCAACGCGCCTCCTGCCCGCCGCGACCACCCGTCTTCCTGCTGGCCCTTGCGTTGTCCTCGCCTTACTCTGGTGTCGGATGTGGCTGCCTCTTCGGACGCTTCCTCCACCACCCTATGGCATAGCCCTCCGCTCGATGGTGTGTAGTAGATGAACTCCTCTACCACAGGTGTATGTTGCCGCGCGACACTCTTGTTTGTTATGGCGCCGTGTTGCGCGAGCTTACTTGATGCGCCACCGCCCCCTCCTCGCGTAGACGTCCTCGGCGTCACCCGTGGTGATAGCCGGCTTGTTCGTGGATGATCTTGGACGGCAGCGGCATGGTGTCTTGGCGCAACCGGTGCGTGCGTGTAGCGGCACTCCCTCCGTGCGACAAGTAGCACGGAGATGTTGCGCGAAAGCATATGTTTTAATTGTTTTCAGAGATATTGTCGGTGCAGAAAGTGACCAACACGTAAATATTTGTAGTTTTACCGTACGTTGTGATCGGAGGTGGCCTAGCACTCAATGACACAGGGTTTATACTGGTTCAGGCAACATGCCCTACGTCCAGTTTAAGTCGGTCGGTGACTTTATTCCTGAGCCCAGATGCTCGAAGTTTGCAGTGGGGTTACAAACGAGAAGGAGAAAGATGGGGGGTACAAGAGGTCCGGTCGGACTCTGGTCTAAGGGGCCAAGAGTGACGGGAGCTCCGCTATGTGCTAAGTGTTCGAGCGTGTGCTCAATATAACTTTAGAGTGCCTAAAGTTACAGCTGGTGAATCAATGTAAGTGAATTGATCGATCTGAATGAACTACCTTTTGGAAGAGAGCGCATCCCCTTTTATAGATGAAGGGGATGGCCTTACAAGTGAGAGGGAGAGAGTATGTACGCTGCTAAGTCTTGCTGCCCACGCCGGCGGGTACAAGATGATGGTAGGCGTCCACAATACTGTTTATTGTCAGATGCACATGGGAGGTTGCGTCGTCTTCTTCTGGCATGACAGATGTTGGTGCCTGCCTCACTGTTGATACCCAGAGGCATGTAAGGGGTTTTACCATGTTCGCCTGGTACGGTAAATGCCGACGCCCACAACACTGTTGATGCCCAGAGGCATGTGGGGGGAGCCTTACCGTATTTGTCTGGTATGGGAGTTGATGGCGCCCACAACACTGTAGGGGAAAATATCGGCGCCTACAACACTGCTTCGGTTCTGTCATGCCAGGGAGGTCGTAGGGGACTGTCCTGCAGGTGTATAGGGTACGGTCCCTGGTATTGCGGTTTGACTTGTGCGCCCTGCCTTACTTTCTCCATCCGTTTCCTAGTCCTTACCGAGCGGGCGTCCCCGGTCGGTTGGTCCCTGTCGGCTCTGATTGCGTCAGTCGGAGAGGAGCTGTAAGCAAGGGTTCGGCGTTTTCCCAGTCGTAGAAGCGAGTCGGAGTCGGAAGAGGTGCTTTGGCCAGGCCTTCCAGTCGGAGAGGTCGTCCGGAGGCGGGCTGGAGACCGAAACGAGCGCTCCGGTCGGAGAGGCGGGCCGGAGTCGGAAGCGGGTGTCGTTCCTCTTTGGCCAGGCCTTCCGGTCGGAGATTGGATCGCCCTTCTGGCCTGTCGTTTAGGTATTCGGACCGGCCCAAGAGTTTGCGCGTCGGTTCACAACGTTGTTCGCTGGGCCGAGCCTTTGCTGGGAAGCCGGTCCATGAAGGACCCCGGGTTTATGAACCCGACAGATATGTTGCAAGTGTTTTCGCATGGATATTGCAAAAGTAGATCAGGATGTTGCATATGTTGCAGTGACTATACACGCATATTGCAAGCGTCTATTCCAAATGTTTCTCAGACGTATGTTGCAAGGTTTTTATCTCGATGTTGCATATATTTCATGTATATGTTGCAAGTGTTTTATGTGGATGTTGCATATCCTTGAAACGGCTTTAAAGTGTTTTTAGGCGTTTTGCATCTGTTTCAGGCATATATTATAAGTGTTTCAGTTGTTTCAGACATATGTTGCAAGTATTTCATCTGAATGTTGCAAAAGTAGATCTGGTATTGCATATGCTGCAATGGGACCTACCGCTGCCCGTCGCCTGCTGCAGCTGCTGGGGTGCCATGCACGTGGCTCCCGTGTGAAGAAGGCACAAGCAGTCCCCCGCGTGCTCGATACGGAGTGGGGGTGCATGCGGTCCCCACATGTGCGCAGGAGCGGAGCTAAAGCAGACGGTTCTCGTGTGCGAGCGGGCAGCGTGGGCAGGGCGACATGTCCACGCTACGCGGGTGCGGGAAACGAAGGAGGCGCAAAAACAGAGAGATGCACGACGTAAGTAGGCACATGTGTCCAGACGTGTGCGTCAGCTTGGACGTTCGTGCGCTAGTATCTTTGGAATTTGGAGTTGCTGATTGAACGAGTCAGACCCGGCAAACAATCGACGGAGGAGGATCGGAGGCATTCGAAACTACAAATGGATCTGCCAAGCAAGAATTATGTTTCTTGTGCACGAGGGGGGAATAACTTACTTTGTCAGTTTTGGAACGAATGAAGTCAGACTATCGCTTGTAATAGTTCGTTAAAAAAATATTGCTTGTAATATTTAATTTGAAAATTGAAAATCATGTATATACACAATATTTACTAGAGAAATTTTCCTTTTTCAGTCTATCAGTCCATCTTTACTCGAAAAGCAATCGACAAGAATTTTTTCACGCATGTATTCATATCTCTTATAGAGCTAATTTCTATTACAAGTTCTATCATTGTCTTCCATTAATAGTCATGTTATCCATGTTATCTCTATATAATTTTATTCTAAATTTTTCACAATAATCTCAGCAGCAAAGCGCGAGATATCTTCTAGTTAACAAAATAGTAGACCACCCGCACCACAGAAATGACTTTTCTTCACCCTATTAATGGCTACGCCAACATAATGGATGATGTTTTTGCAAAGCAAATGGATCATGCACATATTATTATAAACTATTACTCCTGGTTAAAGTTGCACTTTCTTTTGTTATCATGCCAATGTTCAACACTATGGTTCTCGAAGTAACTCTAGAAATTTATTCTAACATATGGCCGCCCCAGTTTTGGCTTTATATTTATTTGATTGACGAATGTACTAAAATCCAGTACAAAGTCAACATTCGAGGAATCAGCAGCTAGCCACCCCACCCAGGCAGAGTTCCAACACGGAACCAGCCGGGTTATGATTTTGGAGCAGTCGAGGCATCCAAGGCTCCGTCGCTGGAGCTTTTCAGCCGTAATCAACCCATGGGAACAGGATTTTTCTTTCACAACAAATCAGCCATACAAATCAGCCGTAGCAATAATAAATCTTGTCGAACAGGGTCCAAAATTTCAGAGTGAATTAGATTAGCATATATGTAGCATATCCTATCATTTGTGTAAGAGACTAATGAAGCATGCCTATGACGTGCTTTTGGATTGAAGTGGATAGATGGATGAGCATGCCTTACGTGTTATGGTAGCCATTTGGAGCATCTTCCTATGGGCTACAGCAACTGCACATGTACCAAGTGAGAAAGAATCAATCATATGCAGCGTGTGAGAGATCAGCATTGATCCCTCAAAAAAAGAAGATCAGCATTGATGAAGACCATGATGATTATATATATATATACACACGCGCGCGCACGCGAGGAATGCATCATGTGACATCAGATCAGAATGACAGCCCTGTTCGCTTTACTAAAAATTTATGGCTGAAAGTACTGATCGCTGATTTATTATGAGAGAAAAACACCGTTCGTTCGTTGAAATAGTACGACTCATAAGACAAGCGAACATGACCAATAAAGACGATTATGGTTAAGAAATAAGAACATGTTTGTGCAAAGGGCATTTTGGTCATCCGGAAACTGACCACCACCAGCCAAACATCTCTGCTAGGACCGCAACTGTGGCTATTAGAATTATGTGAAGATAATCAAACTAAACAATTTAGCATATCTCTCTTTTTCTTTCAGCTAACCAATGCTGACAGAATTCGGGATCGCATAGACAGAGTGGCCGTTTAGTTCACGTGCACATCATGGTCTGAGAGACGTGAGAGGTCTACTGGAATGGATAGGGATCAGATACTTAGATGCAAGGTTGCAACCAAGGGAAAGCTGCAGCTGCAGGTATCCCTCCCATTCCTGCTTTTCGCCCAGCTGCAAGTTGCACGCTGAGGAAAGTGGATAGAAAGCACATCCCCGGGCTTTGCTCTTGCGTCGACAAGGGTGATGCGGATTCGGTCGATCTTTGACTTCCATGGACGCCCCCTCATCTTCACCATTTCAGAATCAAACGTGAGACTTTGGCCCTGTTTGTTTCCGCTTCTCCTAGACACGTTTGGATTATAATCTAAGCGAAGATTTTCTCGCTTCTCGCTTTTCGCTTCTCGTAGTTCAAATCTCTGCGGCTTACCACATAAGCGATAATCGGTGAAAATAAGCAAAACATTTGGCGGGATTCTCGCTTATTTCTACCGATAAGCCGCTTATAAGCGGAAACAAACAGGACCTTTGACTTCCGACTTGAATCATTGCAGCAGCAAGCAGACATCCCTATCCCCATCTCAGAAGCCTCCCAACCCTTGCTCTTTCTTCAAGCCATGGATCTGGACGACAATTGTCATTTCCCAACCTTGATGCTGTT